AACTCGGTAAAGACACCAACATTTTAAGCGGGCGAGCAATGTCAACTCGGTTACAATATAAGTTGGTTGAAATTGATTCTATTTGTGCGATCGAGTGAAATCAGCTCGGTGAGTGAGCAAAATCAGCTCTACATCGGCGAGCAAGAAACAACTCGGGTAATCATGAGCGAAATCTTCTTTTCAATTGGCGAGCCAAAATCAACTCAGTCAATGATGAACAAAATCAGCTTGATCTAATGAGAAAGAAGAGGTCGTCTTCTACTACATGTTGCAGATTACACCCAATGCCAAAAGGCCAAGTTACAAGAAGCAAAGAAGTAGAAAAGATTACATTTCAAAAGTAAAATATCCCAAGATTGGCCCCATTCCATGGCCTGGGGATAGCTTTGCTATCTAAGTCTTCCAGGTGGTATGCCTCTTTGCCTGCAAGGACAGTTATCTTGTATGGCCCCTTCCAATTTGCTCCTAATTTTCCCTCGCCAGGGATCACTGTGTTGCCCATTACCTTCCTCAAGACCCAATCTCCGACCTTGAATAGCCTAGGATGCATGGTCTTGTTGTATTTCTTGGAGAGCTCTTGTTAGTAAGTTGCTATGTGGATTAGAGCCCGTTCCCTTTTGTCTTCGGCTAGGTCAAGCTCCAGGGCTACCGCTTCATCGTTCAAGTCTGGTTTGAAACTTTCAGATCGAATGGTTGGCATGCCAATCTCCAATGGTATGACTGTCTCCATGCCGTAAGCCAAGGCAAATGGAGTTTCCCCGGTTGAGCGCCTTGGTGTAGTGCAGTATGCCTAAAGCACATTGCGAAGTTCCTCAGCCCACATCCCTTTGGCCTTCTCCAATCGCTTCTTCAGCCCGTCCAAGATGGTTTTGTTTGAAGCTTCGGCTTAACCATTTGATTGGGGGTAGGCCGGTGTAGAATTGTAGAACTCAATCTTTAACACCTCGCAAAAACCGCGAAAGAGTTTTCTGGCGAACTGAGTGCCATTATCTGAAATAAGAGCTTTTAGGATGTCGAAGTGGGTGATGACATTCTTCCAGACAAATTTTTTAACATCCTTTTCCTTGATGGTGGCCAATGGCTCGGCCTCGACCCACTTGGTGAAGTAGTCGGTAGCAGCGATGAAAAATTTGCGGTTTCTTGGAGCTACTGGAAGAGGTCCTAAAATGTTAGCCCCCAAAGCGCAAATGGCCAAGGACTTGTAAGGAGGAGCAACTCTCTGGCCGGTTGGTGAATCTGGTGAGCAAATTTTTGATATTTTTCACATTTGTAATCATATTTCCATGCATTGGCCTGCATGCACGGCCACCAATAACCCCTGGGAAATTACTCGATAAGCCAAAGATCTGTCCCCAACATGGCTTCCGCAAATGCCTTCATGAATCTCGAAGAGGAAAGCTTCAACCTTGTTGGGGTGGACACACTTCAGGTATGGCCCAGTGAAAGATTTCTTGTACAAGGCACCAGATGGAGAGAGCCAAAACCGCTCTGACTTGGCCCTTATCTTGTTGGCCTCTTTCTTTTCAGTGGGTAAAATTTGATCCCTCAGGAAGGTGATAAATAGGACCCATCCAAGATGGTCCCAAGTCGGCGCAGAGTACTTCGGGCACCTCTGGTTCCTCAATGCTTGGTCAGGGTAAGAATTCTATCATCAAAGGATTGGGAAAAGTTGCATAGGTGCTAGGCCAGCCAATTCGTCGGCTGCATTGTTTTTTTCGCGGTTAATTTGTTCCATTCTTATTGTGGCAAACTTTTTGATTTCTGCGCATACCAGCGCTTGATACTTAGCCATCCTTTCATCCCTGGTCTCACATTCCCCGGAGATCTGATTGACAACTAGCTTGGAGTCACTGAATACCATAAGTTATGATGCGTTCATTCTCAAAGCGCTCTTCAATCCGGTGAGGAGGGCTTCATATTCCTCCTCAGTGTTGGATGCTAGGAACCCGAGTGTGATCACATGTGCAATGATCAGGCCATTTGGGGATGGCAACACGACCTCTAGCCCGGCGCCATGTCTATTGGAGGCCCCATCGACGAAGAGTTTTCACATCTCACCAATGAACAACTTCCAATAGTCAGAGGGATTTTGAGAGTTCCTGCACTTCAAGGTACTGGTCGGCTCATTCTGGTCTCTTTCTACATCTCCGTCAAACTTGTATTGTGGTAAATTGACAGGTTCTTCAATTTCTTGCTCCGCTTTCTCTTGCCGCTCTGCTACTTGTTGTCCACCACTTGTTTCTGCTATCCGAGCCGTGGGCTGCACCATGTCCGTGCTAGCCAAATCGATAGGGTAAAGAGGGTGTGTTCCAGGGACAAATTTCGCCGTGAAGTCAGCAAGAGCTTGAGCTTTGATAGTAGCGCACGGCTGGAACTTGATATCATATTTACCCAATTCCATGACCCACTTCTGTAGGAGAAATCTGCCTTTTCAGAGAGAAGCTTGAGCGAAAATTCAGTTAGCACGACTATCGTGTAGGGATGAAAATAGTGCGCCAGCTTTCTCGAAGCCATCATGAGAGCCAGAGACAGTTTTTCTAGCGGTAGATATCTCTTGATTCGGCCGGGAGCTGTGTCTTACTAACGTAGAAGATAGGGAGGTGCTGGATTCCCTCAGTGCGGATGAGGATGGCGCTCACCGTGTGTTGAGAAACTGCCAAGTAGACACACAGTTCTTCGCTCAGTTTTTGTGTGACCAAGATTGGGGTCGAGGAAAGGTATACTTTTAGATTCGCCAGTGCACAGTTGCACTCGTCATCCCAAAAGAACTTGGCCTTCAAAGTTTTGAAGAAGGGCCTGCAACGATCTGAAGACCGACTAATAAATCGGCGCGGCTACCATTCCGGTGAGATGTTGCACGTCCTTCGTGAAGTTTGGCCGCTTCAATTCTTGTATTGTCTTGAGCTGGGAAGGGTCAGCCTCGATTCCCCAGCTTATGACCAAAAAACCTAGAAATTTCCCGGTTCCAACTCTGAATGCACACTTGGAGGCATTTAAACGCAGCTTGTGATGTTTAAGTATGGCAAACATTTCTGCTAGGTCGGTAAGGTGTTGAGACTTGTATTTGCTCTTCACTATCATGTCATCAATGTAAGCCTCTATAGTGAAGCTAAAAAGAGGAGCGAATATTTTGGTTACCATCCTCTGAAAAGTTGCCCTTGCATTTTTGAGGCAGAACGGGATGACCTTGTAGCAGTACAAGCCTCCTGGAGTGGTGAACAAAGTGATCTCTCGGTCTGGTTTGTACATAGCGATCTGGTGGTAGACGCGATAGGCATCCAGGAAGCTAAAACTCTGATGGCCAGTGGTTAGATCCACCAACTGGTCTATTCTCGGGAGAGGAAGCTGTCCTTTGGGCACGTACGGTTGACTGTCTTGTAATCGACCCACACCTGCCATTTACCATTCTTCTTCAACACTACCACTGTGTTAGAGATCCATCTGGGATACTGCACTTCTTCTATCACCCTAGCTTCCAACAAGTTCTTGACCTCCTCTGCCACTATCTCGGCATGGTGCAAGGCCGAGCGCCGTATTCTCTGGATGACCGGTCGTGCATTTGGAAAGACATTCAACTGGTGGCAAATGATGCTAGGGTCGACAACAAGCATATCGTAAGGCGTCCACGCAAAGGCCTCAATGTTGGAAACCAAAAAGTTGACATAATCAAGCCGCTCGGCGTTGGAGAAAGATGATCCCAAAAGAAAGAACTTATTTGGATCATTCTCATCAATGCGCACTTCCACCAAATCTTCAGCCAATTTCTCTTCGACTTTTCTTTCCACAACTTCTAGGACTTCCTTTCCTTTTGGTCCTTCTATCATTTGTACAAAGCCTTTGGCAGCTTGACCACCATTTATTGCGACAAAGCATTGTTTTGCCATTACTTGGTCCCCTCAAACCTCTTCTACTTGTCTGGCTAGCGCTGGAAAGTGCAGGACTTGGTGATAAGTCGATGCTACTGCCTGCATGACGAGCAATAAGCCCTTTCCTAGGATTAAGTTGTAGGTTGATGGGACCTTAAGCACCTAAAATTCCACTTGCTTCGTGACTGACCCAGCTTTGACCCTCAATATAATCTTTCTGATTGGTCATTCAAGTTGAGAGTTGAAGCCTACCAAAGGGGACGCTGTTGGAACCAAGTCTTTGTCCTCCAACTTCATCTGTTTGAACGTGTCATAATACATAATCTCGACCAAGCTCCCCCGGTCAATTAGAATTCTTTTGATATCGAAGTCCTTGATGCGAAGGGTCACCACTAAGGCATCATTATGAGGCATTTGAATTCTCTCCAAGTCCTTGCTTGAAAAAGTTAAGACATCTTTTACCTCAATCTTTCCTTTCTTCACATCGGGTTGAACAGAGAGCACTTCCCTCATGTGCTCGGGCTTCTTGATCATCCCCCTCAGCTCACAAACCCACGCAGGTTTGCTAATGCATTGAATGACATTGATTACGCCTTGGGGTGCTGTATCTAGGATAGCAAGGCCATTTGGCTCAGCCTGTCCTTGTGGAGCGGCCCTCATACCCCTGTCTGTGTACTGGTCCAGATGCCCAGCCGCCACCAGCTCCTCCAAATGTCATTTGAGAGGCACACAGTCCTCCGTTCGGTGCCCCGTTTCTTCATGGAAGGTGCAGCGATACCTCGAGTTGAGGCCCCTTTGTGTGTCTCCCAATTTGGCCGGCCAACGCATGTAGGGCTCACCCCGGGTCTCATTTAGGATGCGGTAAATTGGGATCTTAAAGACAGTGGTGATGCCGGTTCATGCTTTCAACATCGTCTTGGCATCTTCCTTTTCACTACGAAGAGCGTTAGCTCAGTCGTTTCTGTGACTTTTGTTTCTATCATTGCGATTTAAACCGCGATGTTGGTCTCTAGCTCGGTCATTAGGGCAGTTGTTCTCCTGTTCCACTGAGTGAACCTTCCCAGCCACTCTTCTGTCCGCCGCAATCGGATTTGTCTTCTCGGTTGCGGTGGCGGTGGCGGCATCATCTTCTACTCAGATATGTTTGTTGATCTGCTGCATCAAGGACTCCATGGTTGTGGGCTGGTCCATCGTAAGCAAATCTCGTAACTTATATCCAACTGGGAGACCTCGCTCGCATTGTGCGATCGCCAGATTGGTGGGGCAATCGAGGATCTCATTGTAAGTTTCCCAATACTTGGCATTGTATGCTTTCAAAGAACCTGCAGATTCTATCTTGACGCTCAGGAGGTGGTCAACCTCCTTCGGTGTTCGAGTGTTGGTTTTGAATCTAGTGACAAAGCCCTCTGCTAGTTGTTGCCGCCCCTCGATGCTCCCCTCTGGGAGTCTTTCAAACGACTTCAGGCCCAATTCTCCCAAACTTGCTATGAATATAAGACACATCAAGGTGTCATTGCGCTGGTGGGGAGCCATTACTTGCCAGTAATGACTCACGTGCATGTACTGATCCGTTTTGCCATCGTACAGTGTGAACTTTGGTTGGTGGAATCCGACAGGGAGTGGCATGCTCTCGATCTTTGGGGACAGTAGGGTAGCGGTAAATCTTGCTAGCTCTCTGTCCATTGGTGCTGGGGCCATCATTCTAGGATCTGGCATTGCCACTTCCTTACTGCAACGGATTTGGGAACTCAAGCTTTGCAATGCCCGCAATCTTTGGGTCTATCTACGGCGAGCTCGCTCCTCCAATACATCCCTCAGGTCCCCCAAATGGGCAGAGTAAGAGTATCTTGACGTCATCAATGGATGTGAGGGACGGTAACTGCTGTCGCGTGTGTGAGATCTCTCCACTGGTGGGTCAGAGTCTTCAACTCCATAGCTTCTGGTGATGGAGAAAGAGAGCGTCCCATCTTCGCGATGACTGTCAGAGTGACGGAGTGGGGTGCGCTCACTGTGGTTGCCTACTCCATCAACACTCTTCCCCTTGATTTGGTGTTTCAGTGCCTCCATTTCATCTTCTGAATGAGGACATCCAGGTCTCTGAGTTTGTGCTCCATGCACGGAGCATGTGACTCTCCTCGTCGTCAACGACCCTCTGGACTCTTGAAGTGTTCAGTGCTCCTTGCGCGTTTGTCTGGTGCACTTTTGGAAGAGGTTTCTAGGTTCGCCATAGTCGGAATAGTGGGAGGGCCATCTCTCCATCAGACAGCGTTGTTTCGTCATTGTTAGCCATACAAATGGTTGAAAAAGCGTGGCTAACAAGGTTTGTCTGTCAAAGAGTTCCCGTAGATGGCGTCAATTGTACGGGAGTGAAATATTCTCCGTTCTCCGTACTCCTTGAATCCAAGCTTCACGTGACGTTGCCTGACCTGAAAACCAAAAGATGGTGAGCTGTCTGGCGGTGTGCTGCCGGATAAACCCTCCGACGATCAAGTCATCACACTTGGAGAAGAAGAAGAAGAAGAATAGAGAGAGCACTTTAGAGCGAGAGAGTTTGGAATTCCTTCTGATCGCTTACCTCTAATGTTTCTCTTCACTTCTTTCTCTAGGCTGGCCATGCAGCCTCAGAGATTGTGGGCGCACTACCTTTGTTGTCCTTCTCTAAGCAGGCAGCTATGCTCCCCTCTACCTTTCTTATACGTGTAGAGACCAAAACCTCCAAACAGTGTTTGTCGAACCGCCAAACGGTATTGACACATACCAGGTGTGGATTTTCTCTGCTTTACCATTGGTCCAGGTGGTTTACCCTACTAGGCTATCACTTGGAAGAAACAAACACCACAACGAACTGGAACAGCCGAGCTACAAAATATCGGTCCATCGTGATCAACTGGTTATAGGACGCGTGGTTCGGCATCTCAACCTCGCCCCACTACCTCATAGGACTCCTCGGCCCTACGTCAGGCCGGACTGTTCGTAGTTCAGCCCAACGCATCAGTACAGATTTCAGAAAATATCCATTTTAGCCGAATCATAACTCGGTCGGCTTGCCTGACCCAACTTAATGGACCGGGGCAACCGCGTTGATTCAGTTCAGCCAGGTTCATGGTCCTTGGACCTAGCAAGGCACAACGCCATATCCCACGCTGACGTAGCTCGGCCCAATTGTTCGGAGCAAATCTTGAGGATTGCGCTAGTAGTCATGTTATCAATCAACCAGCTATACTGACAAACCATCTTTTCAACGTAAAGTGGCCTTCCCTGACTGGTTTCGTGCGTTCCTATAGTTGTCCACATTATACCAAAGATTTGAAAAGTTGCCAACTATTCGGTTTCCCCCATACATACACACAAGCCCAAAAACCCTCATCACTGTTCATCTCCCTTCTGCAAAAACCCTAAGCTTCAGACCTCCAAGCTTCTGCCACCGCCGCCATCGCAATTGTCGTTGCTTTTTGAGTTGTTTCCAGCTATTTCTGTCCTCACGAAGGCCTCAGTAAGGGTTGTGGTTGACTGGGTCCTAACTTGGCATCCACACCCTTAAGTTTTTCTCATTTTCCTTTATATTCTGCATTGTTGTTCTTCGTGTTCTTAATTCCCGTTTGTTTCATGACTGTTGAAATATTGCCTATGCCCCTCTTGTGGGATTAATATCTATGAGCATTAGGCCAAATCGAAGCCCTAAGTAGCAACGAGGCTTCCTTGCCCCTTATTTCCCTTGATTACTGTAGGTGGTTTTGGATTTAGGATGAATACTGAAAAATCCAAGTATAACCGATCAAAAACCCACTTTTAGATCTAAAAATAGGATTTAGCCAAGCCAGAACTGGTTCGAGGTACTCCCTTGTGGTCCTCCCTGTGGGAAGATCGAACCGAGATAGAAACCGAAAAACAGCACCACAACCGGTCAAATGGCCCAGAATCTCAGACCGAGCTAAAAAACTTCCTTATAGGAGCCGTGCAAGTTATGCGCCGCTAATACTTGGACTTATTTTTTAATAATGCAGAACAAACTAGGACCGACAAGGCCCACTCCGCATAACTGTCGGTGAGGCTCAAAGACCGAGCAAACAATCATCCAATTTTGACCGAGCTATAATAAAAATTCCTTAACTAAATAAAACCGGGATAGATGGGGAAGTACCGGTTTAAGGTTAATTTGCCTGGGGCAATGGCTGTGTTCCATAGAGAATACAATATTCCAGACGACGTCCACTTAGAGTTGGCCAAGAAAGGAGACATTCCCTGGGGCTAACTAGAGAAATGCCCTTTCACAGTGGTATCCATTGTGGGAGGCAGGCTACGTTTCCTGATCCAACCCTTAGTCTGCGAATTTTTGAGGCAGACTAGGCTGTGCCCAATCCAAGTCTCCAACAACACATACAAAAGAATAAATGGCGTGGCCGCGCTGACTAGGATACTCGGCCTGAATCTCGTCCTCATCGAGATATTCCATCAATACACACTTAGCAAAAATAAAGGGGGGTTTTGTTGGTATCTCAAAGTTTGGAAGGCTGAGCAAACCTTATCGAAGGTAACCCCAGATAAAGAGACAAACGACGATGATTTCCTGTCGGTGTCCGGTAATTACGAGGACACTGAAGCGCCCATACGGGGCTGGTACATAGGAAAATATGTTAGGAGTGCTGGTGAGTACCTTAGCATGTTTTTAATTCTATAATTGTTCTTGTTTTTGCCAATCTAACCCTTGTTTTCTTGTTGCAGACTACAAGCAGTTGGCCGACGATTACACCCGCGCAAACCAAGAGGCCATAAAGATTGTGTTGCAGCATCTGAGCGAGGAGCGAGAGCCTCAAAAATTGCTCGGTTATGAACCGAGTTACCGTTACACAGTGCCGCGCAGGAGTAGGGTGTCCAACTTCCTTCGTGTCCTCTTTCTAGAGCTGGACCCAAACCTTCCACCAATCAAACTTGTACCATTGACAGAAGAACAAGAAATGGCCAAAATCTGAGCCATAAAGTCTATGATCACGGGGAAGCCATGCGACTCATAGCCGGCTGAAATGACAGGAGGCCAAACATCTAGGCCTGCCGTGCAAAAGGAGCATGTGCTAGCTCTTGCTAGTGAGGCAGCTGCTGGTCAGTCGAGAAAAAGGCCAAGAAATGAGTAAGCCGAGTAGCGCTTTGTTGATGAAGATTCGGCCAGGCTACCATCGACTGAACGGGGAGAGCAGACTGAACAACCACTTTTTGGGCGATCTGCCCTTTCCACTGCCCCTACAGTCAGGTTACTCATATGAAAATATAAAGGCCAAGCAGTGACGGAGGCGGACTCCGTCTACGCAGATAAAGACCATTCGCTTTGCTTCAACATGACCAAGGGTTTGCTTCTCCCTGTGGACATGAAGAAGCATAAGGAACTGTCTGACCTTAAAGTCCTCCGGTCGGCTGCAAAATCGGTCGTTTTGGTAAGTGATCGAGTTATTGTACTTCCAAGTTATCGATCGGTTTCACATACTAACTTCTGTCTCGCTGCAGGCCACGCTGAAAAACTATTTGGTGCACAAATGTATGATTTATGTGCTGCTGAGTTTGAGGGAGGCTATCGCTGACAACAAATCTAAGACGGTCGAGCTGGAGAAGCTGAAGACTGCACATGAGACAGTGTTAACCGAGTGGGATCTCCTGGATGAGAAGTTGGCGAAGGCCAAGGAGGAGAAAGATAAGGCCGTGTAGGCCAAAAATGAGAGATATCTGGCTAAGCTGCCCAAGCTCCGCACCATCCACAGGTCCGAGCTAAAAAAATAAGTGGCCAAAGATCGGGGATATGCCGAGGGAGAAAGGGTGTACGGGCACCAGGTGGCGGGCACCGAAGACATATTTTTTCAGTGCGGCTAGAAAGCAGCTGCCGAAAAACTTCGTCAGGCGCCGGAGTCTGAGGTATTCAACAACCCCCACCTGCCTTCATTCCCTCCTATATGCAGGCATATGCTGCCGTTGTGCAGTAGAAGTTGATAGACGATGCTAAGGAGGCCAGCGCGGTCGATGAGCCAACTCTACAGCCAACCGACAAGACCTCACTGCCAGCCATATCGAAAGAGGCAGCGCCGAGCAGTGAGCAGGAGCCTTTAATCGCCGAACGAGGAATGGACTCTAGCACTGAAACCGCACAAAATGTGGCAGAAGAGGTGGTGGGCAACCTGGAGGACGCTGTAGATATCGACTAAGGCGCAACTAGGCTTATGTTTGGCCCCCCCTTTTTTTTTTTATTGATGTCGCCGGCTACAAGCCCCCACTTTTGTAATCAGGCTTTATCATCAATGAAAAGTGAACTTTTCCCTCGCCATGTATGCAAATTTTTATTTTCCCTGTGGTTGTCATTTTCTTCGATTTGGCCGAGATAAAATCTTCTTGGTGCATTCTAAGTGTAATGGTCTCAGTTTAACTAGCAAACTCATCTTGGTTTAAAATATTAATTGAATACAACACCAACTGTTTGGTAGGCTGAGCAAGGTCAGCTTGGTTTTAATAAGAACTCAAAGACACCAACATTTTAAGCGGGCGAGCAATGTCAACTCGGTTACAATATAAGTTGGGCGAAATTGATTCTGTTTGCGCAGTCAGGCGAAATCAGCTTGGTGAGTGAACAAAATCATCTCTACATCGGCGAGCAAGAAACAGCTCGGGTAATCATGAGCGAAATCTGCTCTTCAATTGGCGAGCCAAAATTAGCTCGGTCA